CTTGCTTAAAGCGCCTAAGAATTAGCTCATCACGGACATAATGGTTCAACGGAAGCAAAGTTCAAGTGAGCTTTAAGGATCGACAAGCGTTGGTCTTCGGTAGTTTTCTTCGGAATATTATCGCAACAATTGAGGATGACTTCAAGTAAAGTTATTTTCAACAAAGTTCGCTAAGATTGTGGAAGTTGTCACCAAAGATTTGAGAAGATAGCACGAGATGAGCGGTCTTCGACGACATTCGCTAAGATTATGGAAGTTGTCACTAAAGATTTGAGAAGATAGCACGAGATGGGCGGTCTTCAACGGCATACTCTAAGATTGTGGAGGTTGTCACTAAGATTTGAGAAGATAGCACGAGATGGGCGGTCTTCGACGACATTCGCTAAGATTGTGGAAGTTGTCACCAAAGATTTGAGAAGATAGTACGAGATGGGCGGTCTTCGACGCCATTCGCTAAGATTGTGGAGGTTGTCACTAAGATTTGAGAAAAGATTTGAGAAGATAGCACGAGATGGGCGGTCTTCAACGGCATTCGCTAAGATTGTGGAGGTTGTCACCCAAGATTTGAGAAGATGGCACGAGATGGGCGGTCTTCGACGACATTCGCTAAGATTGTGGAGGTTGTCACCCAAGATTTGAGAAGATAGCACGAGATGGGCGGTCTTCGACGGCGTTCGCTAGGATTGTGGAGGTTTTCACCAAGATATGAGAAGAGCGGTTCATGATGAGGCGGTCTTCAACGACTTTTGCTATGATTGGAAATGTTGTCACTATGATTCAAGAAAAGGCTCGAGATGTAGCAAAATTGATCAACGGCGTTCCCTAGATTGTGGAGAGTTGTCACAAACAACTGAAGGTGATTTCAAGCGAAGTTGTCTTCGATCATGTTCCCTTAGACGTGAAAGAAGATTGTTTCAAGAGAAGCAATCTTCGATAGTATTCCCTTGGACGTGGAATATTATCAATGCGGAAGAAGATTGTTTCAAGAGAAGCAATCTTCGATAGTATTCCCTTGGACATGGAATATTATCAACGCGGATGAGGATTGTTTCAAGCAAAGCAATCTTCGATAGTATTCCCTTGGACGTGGAATATTATCAATACGGAAGGGGATGATTTCAAGTGAAGTTATCTTCGATGGTATTCCCTTGGACATGGAATATTATCAGAGCGGAAGAGGATCATTTCAAGTGAAGCAGTCTTCTATATTGGAAGCAGTTACAAGCGTAGCGGTTTTCAAGAGGGATGGCATTCTCTTGGCAGGAGGTCATCAAAACAACAGCAAGCGGCAACGAATCGGTTACTTTCAGAGACGTGTGCTCGACGGTGCAAGATACGCGTTTCTTAACTCTTTTATCTGTTTAACTAACGCTAGTTTGCAGGTATCGACGTTACAAGACTGATTTAGGATCGCAGAACGTTCTGAATCATTCTCCGTCCCTATCGATTCTTTGACTTTTATTTTTGAAACTTGCGTTTCTCCAAACTCAGTCAAAGTGGGGGCTTCTGTAGACACCCATTTGTGTCTCCCCAAAACCAAACCCAGTGATGAATATCTTTTCACGTCGAATCATAATCGAATGAAGTGAAAGTGTGGAAAGTCTAGTGTTGCGGATAGTTTTAATTTCTTTTCTCTTCTCTCTGTTTTTGAAAACTTATTTTAAGAAAACAGCCAGTCCAGTTTGGTTGGTCCATGATATGGGTCCAATAGTAGTGTAGTTGGATGGGGCTTGACAAGAGCTTTCCAACGATATATTATAAGCCCAATTCCGATGAATATTGAGGAAGTTATGGCCAATTTACTAAACTGGGCTCGGTTTGAGCTTTATATAAGGCCCAATGATCTAGGGGAGGGCCTAATATAGATTTATCATTCCTAATGCAATTAGAATGATTTTAGTCTTCTAGATTCTTCCGGAAGGTTCTTTTCATTCTTAATTCAATTAGCATTGATAAATTGACTTTTGTTGACTTTTCAAAGTTTTAATTAAAATCAAAGAGTATTTTTGAGGGAAATACGATTTTATCCTCCTGTACGGCAATTTTTATCTGATTTTAAGAAAACGCGTAATTTTCCAGATCAGCGCCAAACGCCAGCTGTAGCGCTTGGCGCCTGGCGCTGATGTTGGCGCCTGACGCTAATGTTGGCGCTTGGCGCTGATGTAACGAGTTTTCATCAATTCTTATTTTAAAACTAGTTTTCATCTATAATCATTTTCACCAATTCTTATTCTAACCAACTTTCATCAAGTTTTCCTTCATTTCTCTTTCTCTCCCTTTTCTAAACTAGCTTCTCTCAAATATAAAATTCCGCATTCATTAGATCTAGATACACCTAGCCATATTCGAAGTTGCCTTCTCCCTAGACGTGAAAGGTTTAATTTCTGAGGGTTTGGTCCCAAATCTCTATTTCAATTATTTAATTTAATTGTTAATTATTATTTTCCTTGAAGTTACTAACGCGTGTATTTTGTTATTAGAAAGAGGTACGAGGCATCAAAGTAAGTACTTTAATGGTTTAATGTTATGATATAGAATTCATGTTTAGGTTGTTATTATGATATTCCTAGTATCATGTCTAGGGTAATTTTAATATCAAGTATGATTAAAAGTATGATGCCTTTTACGTTCTTCCTAATATTTATGATTGTTAGTATCACGTTAGGGTTAAAGATTTGATTTTTATGTTTAGTGACATGCTAGGATTTGTTATTAATCTTGTTAGTATCATGCCTAGGATCTTGCTATTATTATGCTTTAACATGATTATTATGATTATGTTTATGATTATGTTGCTTGATACATTATTTATTGTTATTGCTTGATCACGCCTTTTATGCATGTTTAAAGGGAATTTGGTACTTGTAATCACTCTTAATAAGATAATTAATAATCTTGTTAGGGTTAATTTGATTATAATTCAAGTGATTGCCAATAATAATTTTATTTGTGAATTAATATTCAACCAACATAGATTAAACAGGTTTAGGGTAATCCTATTGATTGCATGTTAGTCAAAAAGCGCACCTGAATAAGATCAGAATAAAGTAGAGGCCTATTATTAGGGCAGGTTCAATCTCTTTTAGGTTGGATTTGTACCTTCATCCCCGAACCCTTATTTGGTTCAAGACCTTATGGAGTTGACGATCTCTTGGATCGTTAAGGGGTGTAACCTTCACCCTGTGAACGGTTTACAAGTTCCTAAAACTTGTTGGCGACTCTTTTGCTCTATCTTCTTCCCTTTTGGACCCCACCGTACTTTAGTGTATGATCACAGTGGGGTTCAAGCAAGGGGATTAACGCTTGAAATTATTCCCTACAATTCGCCCAGAAATAAAAATTGCCGAAATGTTTATCATGGTCTGTAATATCCTCCGGGAGTCCAATTGGGTGGGTGAAACCATCCAATTTGCCTTTAAACGACCAATTTACCGGTTTACAACTTGCACCGATTTCATTAATTCAAGCCTACCACAAACATTTATGACAACAAATAATGATCATATATGGTTCCAAACGGTATTTTATGACCCCGAGATGTATCCCATAGAATTAAAAGACTTTTCGACACTAGGCCCTAAAACTTCCAAAATTTCTCAAAAAGCTTGGATATTAGCCTTCAATTTTGGAATTTTTTGACTTTTTTTTCGCCCGGAAATAAAAATTTCCGAAATGTTTACCATGGTCCCTAATACCCACCGGGATTCAAATTGGGCGTGTGGAACCATCCAATTTGCTTTTAAACGGCCAATTTACCTATTTACAACTTGCACCGATTTACCGGTTTACAACGGCCAATTTAATTAACTTGCAACGAACCCGACTTGAACCGAAATTGACCCAAAGTCGTTTTAACCCGTCAAAACTCGAATTTAACCCGACTTGTTACTAACCTGACCTGAATTTAACTCGACCCGTTCCTAACTCGACCTGAATTTAACCCAACTTGTTACAAACCCGACCTGAAATCAACCCGAGTTGTTATTGATCTGATCAAATTCAACCCGACTTGTTATTGACCCAACCCGAATTAAACCATACCTATTACTTACCCGACCCAAAAATTCAACCCGATCTATTACCAACCCGACTCAAAATTAACACTTGTTATTGACCCTACCTAAATTTAACCCAAATTGTTCCTGACCCACGATTTCAAATCACCTTAAATGCACTTTAGACCACCTTATTATTGTTGATCAAAGCAATTTGTCTAGGGAGACCAAGTCAGTCCAAGCCAGCAAAAGCAAGGAGCATCATTCTCAAATTTAAGAGTTAAATATAGTATATATTTGTTGTATGGTCAAAGGAGTTAATTATCTTCCTAAATTATAGATTATAGTTCCCTATTATATTGTCATATATATTATAGTCAAAGGAAATAATTAGCTTGATAAAATGATAATTATCTATTTATAGTTAGTTAAACCCGAATATGACCTGACTTGGAAATGATCCGACCTGATTGTAACCTGTAAATTATTGACTTGAACATAACGCGACTTGAATTCGAGAATGACCCGACTTGGAAATGACCCAACCTGATTATAAACCGCAAATTATTGACTTGAACCGAACCCGACTTGAACCCGAGAATGACCCAACTTGAAAACAATCCGACCTGATTATAATTTGCAAATTATTGACTTGAACCGAACTCGACTCAAACTCGAGAATGACCCGACCTAATTCTAACCCCCAAATTATTGACTTGAACCGAACCCGACTCGAACCCGAAGATTATCCTAACCCGTTTTAACCTGTAAAAACCCGAATTAAACTCGACCTATTATTCACCCAACCCGAATGTAACCCGACCCAAACCCGATAAGAAGTATGACCCGACTCAAGCATGACCCAACCCAAACTCAACCCGCATAGGTTATAGAATTAATCCGAATTGACCCGACCCGAGTTGACCCGAACTACTATTACCCGACCCAAACCCGACCCGTTTACCCGATTCGACAGCTCTAAGAGAAGATAACAGTTTCTGCCCAACTTATCAACCAGAGGACAACATTCAGCTTAGAAGAGTGAAAAAAAAAATTGGTACATCAACAGATTCAGCCGTGTTGTTCACACATCTCAAAAATTTCAATAGACCACTATCAACTGCTTTTCATGTATTTTAGAATACAGCAAATTCAAGGTAATTCAATATGCTTTCCATCAATAGAAAAAAAAATAAAATTATTACAATTCAATATGCTGTGAAAAGAATTACAAGCTACCTGTATTATGACTTCTTATGTACTTTCCTTCTAAACTCCATGCTACATTTGATGCCCACTCCAGCATTTCTTTGCTTCTGTTACGCATAAATGCATAATAATTTTCTATTCTGGTTTTCACATGAAGTATAGAACTTGTCAACCCCATCTACACGCACAGGCATATCGCAGATGTAACTGAGTCGTGAACTCTTGATCAGCAAAGGAATGGCTTTTGATGGTCATCCCAAACTGTATAAATTTACAAACCACCTAAACAAATCACTCGACAACACCAGCAAGTTTCCGACAGACCCCAAAACAAAGTAAACCTCCAGCTGAAGAAGTATCAAGCAGCCAAAGCAGAGATGATAAGAGATGCATCACTCGACCGCATATGCAACAGCATTCCAGTTAGTATGAAGTAGGGAAGACTTCTTTACAAAATATTGTGTGTATTTCAAGTTAAGATATCAAGAGTCTGAAGTCTGAACATTAATTCCTCAAAAATGCTTAAATCAGGAAGGCTTTCACCTACGAAGCCTCAGCTTCTACTGTAGAATTCTTTGAGCGAAGTAATTGCTGCTTGAGAAATACTGCATACAGAAGTTCATTCCATGTATCAGGAACACCGGGCAAGCACCAATGACTACAATCTTGCCGATGAATGGGAGCTGGTTTTGGCCCCAGATAGTAAAGTGATGAATGGCCATCTCTTCTCTGTAACGTCATATAAGTCACATTCAACAAGTTTACTTTAGTCGCATGAGATCTGTTTGTATAATCTGACAGTGCATCATTCAAAATATTATAATGGCCCCAATATTGAGGCTTGTAAGGAGCTGTCAAGTCGGGCATTGTTTCCAAATGACAAGTACCACCAGTTTTCCAGTCGCCGCCACTGTAAGAGATTTATCTCATTAGTATAATTCTTTATTGGTTGCAAAGGTTGTAAAAAGCTTTTAGATATAATAAACTCTAAAAGATACTTTAAGACCTTAGTTTTGACAAGAAATTTACTACAAAGTATCACCGAACTCAATTTACCAGACATAACCAAAAAAAAAAAAAAAAAAAAAAAAAAGGAGCAAGAGAACTTTCAAATGCAATGCTTAACATAGAGTTGATACCAAGATAATGATAAGTTAGGGCCCAACAAATACACAAGCAACATGAAGCAGAAGAAATAAGTGAAACTAAAATTAAAGTGCTTGGTTCAAAAGGATCAAATATACAGCAATGTACACCATAGAACTTGGTTTTAAATATCAAAATTTATTTCTAGGTTGGAAAAAGGAAGTAAACCGCCATAATGCCAAACTGGAAGGTACTAATGGATCTCATGGTATGACATAAGAATCAAGGAAACCACATTAAAATGCAATCTAAATGTAATATATGAGCAAATTATATAAGCGCTAGTACAGGTACTTAATAAAAGTGCAGGTAATGATGCAAGTGATTACTATTTTCCTTGTTGCCTAAGAAAGGGAAACTTTTCCTCGTGAAAAAAGGTGTCTCTGCTATCACTAGCTAAGATATAAATGATAAAAATTAAATAAAAAATAATTTACACTACTATAAGAAATAGCCAATCTGACAGATACACAAACATATATAATAGGAACATTAACTTTTGGACATATTGTGTTGCAGACATGTTGATTTTTAATTAGACTGACTGCAAAATATGAAACAAATAAGGAAAAACAATGACAAATCTAGACAATTTTAAGGTTCTATCAAGTATCTCAGAGAAATTAGGTTAAACTTGATCAGTAAGGAACTTATCTGGGACATGGCCCTTGACAATGACATTCTTCAATCTAAGCACATAATAGTCATCTTATGTTGTTTGTAAACTAGGCTTCAATGTTGTGTGTGTCCATTTACCCCTTTATGCATGTGTATTCTATCACTAAAATTAAAGGATTAAAAAATAGAGTTTCTAATCGACTAATGCTTCTTGTGTCTCCCCTGAGTATTAAAAGTCTCATTTCACGTATATTTATTTCTCTATTCACTTTTAATCAATCAAACATCACTAATTTTTTTTATCTTTAATTTACCAAACCCCACCATCTTATGTTTATATTCACCTTTAATCAACCAAACTCCACTATATTTTTAGGAAAATTTATTTTAATAATCCCAACTTTAGTTAATTTACTTTGAATGATCCCAACTTACGATTATTCTAGAATACTCCCAACTTCCATACACGTTTACTTTCTTCGCAGGTCATCAACATGTTATAACATGTGACCTAGACATGTGTCAACACGTGATTAATCCAAAAAATAAAAAATAAAAAGAAATTGAAAAATAATAAAAATGACTACAATCACATGTTTTTGGGGGGTTGGGGAAGGGAGAGGGGTTGTTTCCGGTGGTAAGGGGCTGGGGAAGGGGTAGGGCAGTGAAGGGGGAGGCCACTGGCATTGGTGGTTGATAGTTTTTTTTTTTAGACCAATCACATGTTGACACATGACAAACACAATTTTTTTTTTAAATAAAATTAACATTTTCATCAGGTTACCGATTTCGAGACGGAAGAAAGACACCCTAAAGATGGGAATATTAAAGTAAATTGACCAAAGTTAGGATTATTAAAATGAAATTTTCCTTTTTCTATTCACCTTCTTAAAACATGTGCAATAGGCAAATGCGGCTTTTACATGAGGATAGAGAGAGTAGTGACTACCTATATTACTTAAACATGGATATGTGTCTAAGTGTCCGACTCACATATATTTTAAAAAATATACTTAAATCTGAACTAATATAAAGCGTTTAAGTGTTATTTCCATGTCCGAGTGTCGAGGGTCCAACACGAGTACTTAAGGTAAAATGAAGAATCAGATTAACAGTCATTAACTCACTATTATCCTCCTCTCTGCCTCCCTCTTTCTTTTTAACCGAAGAAAGAATGATTATTGACTCTTATTCTTTGTCTAAATACTTTAGCTTAACCAATATCCTATAGGAAAAATTAGAAATAATAATCCCAACTTTCATCAATTTTGGTAATATAATCCCGACTTCCATCAATTTTGGTAGAATAATCCCAACTTTGGATTATACCGAGATAATCCGAACTTTGTGAGTCTTCTTTTTCTTCAGTTCCTAATTTGTCAACAAAAGTCAATGACCTACTATATAAGTTCACTTCACACATGTCAAAAACAAATTTAAAAAAAAAATCAAAAACCAAAAAATAAAAAAAAATATAAAATAAAACCCAAAAAATCATAAAAACCCAGCCAAACCTCCCCTCCCCCACTGTCCCACCCACCACCACTGCCAGTTCGCCGTTCGCCGCCTCTCCCTGCCGACAGCCCGGTCTTCCCATGTCGGACCGTCGCTTTCCCCCTTCCCCGAAATCCCCTCCAATCCCCCCTATTGCTACCACCACAAAAACCCCTTTTTCACTCCCGAAAAACCCCAAAAACACCTCCTCTACCTCGAAACCCTACGGCTAGGGTTTTCGATGGTGGGGGAAGGATGTTTAGGGATTTTAGGGAGTTGGGGAGAGTTTTAAAGGGAGTTTCAAGTGATGGTGGTGGCTGAAAAAGGAGTTTCGAGTGGTGGTTGTCGACAGAAAAGGAGTAGAGGAAGGTGGGTCGCATCACCGTCGTTAGGGGAGGGGGGAATCTGGGAGAGGAGAAACCGACAGAGGGGGAGGGGGAGTAGTGGCAGCAGCCACCATCGGCATGGTTTTGGGTGGCCGGATTCTGGGTTTGGCTAGTGTTTTTTTTAAAAAAAAAAATCTTGTTTTTTAACCGGTTAACTCGTGACACCGACACGTGTCCTTTTTTTAAAAAAAAAAATAACTCATTCAACCAGTATCCGGTATTTGGGATTGAAGAAAAAGAAGACCCCTTAAAGTTCGGATTATTCCAGTATAATTCAAAGTTGGGATTATTCTACCAAAATTGATGAAAGTTGGGATCATTATTTCTAATTTTTCCTATCCTATAACTATTTAGGGCAAGGAAACAAACTTTTGAACCTCCCAAACCCCTCTTAACGTGTTTCAATGAATAGTTGATTACTACAATGCACAGAGTGAAAAAGGAATATTTTAATTTAATCACCTCTCCACACTACTTTGCAATGAAATTAGATTGGAAGGATCCAATGCTTTCATCTCTTCGTTTACTCATTTCAACCAAGTCTTAGTCTACGACCTCTACACTGACTCCTTTTAATGCCAATAATTGGTAATCGACATGCTAATCATGCAATATTAATAAAATCTAACCCGTTGTGAGCTCCGACAGTTTTGGGTACACGTATGGCTATGATAAATTGATAAAAGTATTGAGTAAACCACTATACTTAACGTGGATTGATATGTAAGTTTAATTCTATTTAGAGGACAACTTGGCCTCTTTTTTTTTAACTCAAAATTAATATAATATTTTCTTAAAAACAAATAAAACTAATTTCAACCTCTCTTCTTATAGTTAACAAAATTAATAGGAATAACACCTTTCTATTTTTGGTCAACCAACTAAGCCTTAAAATTAGTTAAAGCAGAGATCGACGAGAAGTATTCTAAAACACAGCAACTACCATTCCTACCCTTTGCTTTTTTCCCTGCTCCCTCACTTTCTTTTTCTCCAGAGATGTAATTTCCCACACAATACAGAGAAACTTGCAGTGTCTCTCCCTATTTTCCACCCCAATATAAATATCTCTATAGATATAATACAAAAGTCTGGGATTCAAGTACTTCACAACTAAAATTTGGAGGAGCATGTCTCACATGAGATCATATATGATGCCAGAAATTGCATAGGGATATGTTGGTCAGCAATAGTTAGCATTTAATTTCTGGTATCCATCTTTATAAAACTGACATACCAGCTATATTATGTTGACCATGAAACCCTGAGCTTTTATGGAGTATTATTTTGTTAGCCATTATCAGAAATAATCTGTACTCGTTGACCTTAATTTTGCTTTTTTGAAAACAGAATTGACAAAAGAGCAAAACCTATATTCATTGCAAGGAAGAATTCTAAATAGTTTCAGTCCCTAAAAGTAATGCAAATCTGATTCTCTTCCCAAACACACACACAAAATCTAACCCCAGCAGCAGGGCATTTAGCTAAAATTAATGGGCAATATATATGAAAGAATGCATCCATAATACAGAACCATTACTATGATCACGGCCACAACAGCTATGTTTGTCAATATAGTTGTCTAGAACTAAGAAATTCGAGACCTCATGAATGCTGATAGTTCACACATCAATCTGACCAATTTCTGACTGCCAATTTTCTCTAGCAAATAGAATTGAGGAATTGGATAGAAGAGAAAGTTATGTTCAACACAAGCTTTTTGCTATTAAAAAATAAATAAAATGAGAACAAACAAACTAATAGGGCCACTATGTATGTTATGGTGAACTATAGTAGTAAGCCAAGTAACAATAGCGTGCGTATTCAACAGAAGAATATCATCAGATAAACTAATGAACTAGCTTTAGAATCTTAGGACAATTCAAACTATTCATCCATGATAATATCTTTATCTAACTACACGTTCTTTCATTCTTGGCATATTATATATGTCCTAAGCATGCTTAATGCATTTATAGGCTAGCTCAAGCTAGAAACCAACTTACAAAGCTTTCCAAATGTACAAAATTATTAGAGATATAATGGTTAGATGCCATCCATATAGTTTGACAACATTCACATACTCTACTATGAAATTAATGAGTTGTAAAATATGAATTAAGAGATGAAAACAGAAGTTGCTAATATATTAAAAGATGCTGCCCAATGACCAGATATTGAAAAAAAAGGAACATAACATACCCTGATGCTTCCAAAGAGATTCTACGCTAGGGTAGGTTAGGGGCCAGGGGTACTTTAACGTTCAAATTTCTTTGGCCCCTGAAGACAAGTAAATTCAGACACATTATTGTTTCTCTACATTTTCACTTACTAGCTCACATCGTCTACAGTAATAAAGAAATTTTCTTTAAAAGTACCCCAAGAGAGCACTGAAAGTGGCCGCCGCTACCATAGAGAGGGTCGTCGGCTGCCGCTGCTAGGGAGTTGGGGGCTGGAGTGGGTTGGGGTTGATGTTGGGGTGGCTGGGGTTTTTAATTTTTTTTTTTAATTAATAGGGTTATATTAGTCATTTTGCCTTTAGTTAACTAGGGTTAGACTAATAATTATGTATTAATATCATTATTGTTACCACTAAATTAGTTTTAGTATTTTAAGATTACCATTGATAATTTAATTTTTTAGTGTTTACCATTGAGAAAGAAAGAAACTTCAAGATTACCATTGAGAATTTCCCCATAAACTATTCAAAATGAAGTGAAAAGGAACAAGATATAAGAAAAATCAAACCTGAAGTGCACAGGAGCATAGGATCGAAAGAAAACGCTTGTCTTGTTAATGTCTACTTCACTATCTATCCATCCAAAAAGAGTGTCCACTGACCGTCTAAAAGCAGTTTCAACAGTCATATTCATCTTTACAGTATTTACTTCTTCGAAGTAACAACCGCTGAAGAGTAATGAAACAGATTTTAGCAGGTTATAAAGTGAACAATACACATAGAAAGCATCTAAATAAGATAATAACATTCACAAACTTAAGCAAAGATAACAAAAGAGCCTAATCCTAAGAACTTTAATCTCTCCAAAAGTAAAATTGGGTCTGGGAAAGAAGATGTGGCCAATTAAAAGGGGTCAAGGCAGGGAGATAAGAAGAAATCTAAGGACATGAATTTTGTTAAAAGACAAATATACAATCAGTTGCTTTGCATAGATCAAAACACTGGAATAACAATATGTCAATATATTAGATTTCATAAGCCTGTGAAACAATAATGTTAAAACTCAAATTTTACATGGTACAAAAATTACAAATTTATCACAAGTCTGTCAGACTAGATATTTACACAGGTTGCTTGAGGCGAGGGAGGAACCAAAGCCTACTACATCCTCAGACAGTCATTCATCAGACCTACTCAGACCTATGAAAGTCATGGTCTCATGGATGCTAAAACCGGTCAACGTCCAGGATACACAATCAAGAGATTAAACAACTGCCTAGTAACCAAATGTACAAGATCTAAAACAGTCTGGCAATTAAACTAAAGTAATTACCAAAAAAATTCCATGGATGAGACAGCCTAAATATCCAACAATAAGTGGGATTTTAATAGTGTGATAACTCATTAAGGGCTGAGTCATGAGAGTTATCGTTTGTTCTTTTCTTAAGTAGCAAATTGATAGTAACAGATTACAAATAGCAATTCATTATAAAATCCAATAAGCTATCCCAAGTCAGTCTGAAATTTTTAATTGTTCCCTATGAGCTATCTGAAAGAGAGATCACTAGCATTGACTCGGTCAAACAAGGAAACAGACGTATTTACCTCCTAATTGTTTTGTCATAAGTCCACCAATGTCCAGCGTTTAAAATCAACACATCAGCATCTTTCCATTTGCCGGAGCTCCAGTCCAGCTTATCCACTTTCAGAGTGTACCTCACATTAGGTGGAGAACCAGCTGGAGGCCTGCCTTGCACCACTAAGAATGGAGCTCTATAGTACTCAATAGTGCAATTATAATCCCGAAACATAAACACCAAAGCTCCCATGTGCTTCGTTATTGGGTTTCCATGTACTTCATAGATTGAAGACTTATTAGATACTACAGAAGAGAGCATACACATGAGGGATTCCCATTGATTTCTTCCGATCGAGTCACCAACAAATGCAAGCCTCTTGTTCCTAAGTTTTTCTAACATCAATTTTGCATCAAATCTGTAATGCACAAACCAACAAAAGGCATGACATGTTAAAAAAAATTATACGTTCAGTAGCATTCATAATACAACAGCAGGCAGATAGCTAGAAATTTCAGTCCTTATAATATACTTCTTGATCATTTATGTTACCTATATAAACAAATACGAAGTACCCAATAACACCTACAAATACGGAAGAAAAGCACCCTAATTACTCTCCATTATTATTTTAATCTCAAAGGGAAGCACATAAGACACAACCGACAGATTTGAAGCATATTCTATTATTCTGTACATCCTGCAAAGAGTTGACCTTCTGTACTAAGTAGTATATTCAAGTCTTCAACATCAAACTATAATCATGCCAACATAACAACCATCAAAGCCATAAACCCCATTATACAATATGATCACTAAGAACAAATTCATATAATTAAAAAGAAAAAAAAATGAAATTTATGGAAAAATGAACTATAATAACATAACCATTGCCATTTTTAGCAAATATGGAATTTTACCAATAAGTAACAATAATGCCAGCTATGAACAACAGTACTCAGTAATATGATAAATACAGAACACTCATGTATGGCTATGTACCTACAAAGAGAGCCACAAAACCAGTAATTTAGACGGGATTCGATCACAGGTCTTGAATACAACCCCAGACTTTACCAACTAAACTAACTGATATCCAACTGCGAATATAATTATAATATGTCAAATCATAACCAAAAAAAAATCTACCTGGGCATATTGCATTTGTTGGGTTGCCATCTCCATTTAGTATAGAAATTATCAGGTCTGCCATTTTCAGAACACTTGAAACCTCCATCAACAAACAAACAATCTGTGGAATTATAAAGAGGATAACTCTCATCCCAAACCCATTTTCCATCAAAATAATCACAATCTTTTTCTCTACTTTTCTCAACAAATCCAAAATCCCCATTACTACTGAGATTATACCCATACCACCACGTGACTGCAGCACGTGATCTAATCCCATTTCCACCATTTCCAATACTATTATCAAAATAAAACATTGAACAAAATAAACACAAAGTTAACACCAAAAACCCCAGAATTGTTAATGAAAGTTCTAGTGGGTTTAACCTATTAAATTTCTTGAAAAAATCAAGCTGATTCATGGCTCTTCCTTAATTTTTGTAAAGGGTATAATTATACCAATATTGGGTATCACTAAAATTTCTTAGAAAATTTCAAAATTTTGAATTCATGACTAATTTTCAGTTAAAAAAATAAAAAAATTTAAATGGGTATAAATTTTTTAAATGGGTACATAAATACTAAAAATGGGTGTTTAAAAAGTAAAAATTGAAGCTTTTTGTGAGTGATTAAATGCTCCAACGAAGCAAAAATTAAAGCAGACAAAATGGGTGTTAGAAGAAGTAATGATAAAATGGACAAGAGTCCAAAAGTATTGAGGAGAGAGAAAAGGGGAGGCAATGCATTCAAAGCATTAACGAAGTGATGATTATAATGTGATGAAAGAAGGATTATTTATTTAATTAAGTAATACAAGTATAAAATATTGTAATTAATTTCCTCAAAAAAAAAATATTGTAATTAAATAATTAGAAATAGAAGTCGTGGTCTTGACGGTGAGAGAAGTTTGGGAAGTGGGGACAGCTTGGAAGTAGGGAAGAGATTAGGGAAATAATATAATATTATTACGGCAGATTATGACATGATTAATAATAAAATGAAATGAAGTTTCCTACAATAATCATATTCATAATAATTTTTTTGATATAAAATATATGTCCAAGGACAAATGAATCGTGTTTGATATAATTGGGGGAAAAATGTTTTGTGTGTGGTTGGTCACACGGTGTGACCAGCTAACATACAAGTAACCCCTTCGACCTAGTAACCCTATCGAATTAGTAACCCCTTTCCAAATAACCCATTCGATCAAGTAACCCCTGACGACCTAGTAACTCATGATTGAACCTAGCTAGTAACTCATGACCGGACCTAGTAACCTCTAACCGATCAAGTAATCCCTGACTGAATCTAGTAACCCTTGACCAAGTAACCTAGGTTGCACAAAAACGGGTACGGACACGGATAAGAGTACGTAACGGATACGGTAAAACGTCTATCCCAAAATAAGGGACACGGGTACGAGATGTTAATATTCATAAAATATACTTTAAAAAAAATAATTTGACCATATATTTGTCATTTCGTCCTCTCATAAGATTATATAGTATCATATAACAATATGAAGGCACCCATATTATTTAACAATTACCTTATTTATCTTACTCTACTTAAAATATCTCAATAAAAAAAGTTGAACAACCTATATCATAGTGGGATACGGTCCGAGACATGTCGTCGTGTGTCCCACGGGTGTCGGTGTCTGACACGGTGTTCGACACGAACACGACAGTTGTATGAAGTGTCCATGCATCCTAGCAAGTAACCCCAGACCAAACCTAGTGGCCCCTAACCAGATCTAGTAACCCCTGATCGGACCCCTAACCAGACCTAGTAACCTAGTGACCCCTAACCAGACCTAGTAACCCTTAACCAGATCTAATAGCCCTTGACTTAACCACCAATTCCACCAACAAAGTAGCCACCAAGCTACCAATTCCAACCTCCACAACACAATTAAAAAAATAAATTAAATAAACAAAATGAAATTCCTCAAAATCCAAAACTCTACTCTTAATTAATTTCATTACAACTCTACTCTTAGTTTCATTACCCAGCCCAAGTATTAACCCACTGAACTTTTAGTGAATTTATTCAACCGAAGTATTTCTCACTCTTCTGTCCTCTGCGAGTTTCAATCAGCATCAATTTAAAAATGGCGATTTCGTCTCATTGATCCTTGCCGCATATTCACCTCTATCGACCTCCGCATATTCCTTCATCTTCTGCGTTGCTCCGGTGGAGGATTGACGGCAGAGAGCGGAGGAGGTGTGGCTTCCGGTAGCTTGACGCTAAAATTGGGCAGCCATGGAAGACATTGGAAGAGAGAGAAAGAGAGAATTTTAGGGGTTGATGCACAACAACAAAATAAAGCAAAGGTAACAGTGCAAAACCATTGTCTAATACAAAAAAAATGTTGCCTTATAGCTAAGACAACACATATGTGGCGTAGTATATGCCCCCGTTGTCTATTCATAAGGCAACACATTTTTATTCAAAAGGCAACGATTTTGAAAGCCAAGGTAAAATGATACGTAAGACAACATTTTTACAAAGACAACAAATGAAAATTGTTGTCATCTAAGGAGACAATTAAAAAATGTTTATATATGTTGTCACTCCCAAGCATTTAGTAGTTGGTAGGACTCGAACTTGTAACCTCAAATTCACAAGGTGAATTCCCAACCAACTCCACCAAACTTGCTTATATATATATTACATATATACACATATACTCCCTCCGTTAACGGTTAGTTGCAACAAATACTATAAATAGGTGCTACCTATTAGTTGCAACAAATTTTTTTTTTTCCTTTATAGGTAACTTTTTTATTGGTAAAGTTACCATCATACCCTTATTAAAATCTGATTATACACTAACCTCATTTTTTATAAAATCAAAAAACCTTATTATCTAAAGATCTAAGCTAATGATTCCCACCCAAATCAACCCTCTTCTAGATCTTTCTTCCCAGTCATTCATCACACCCTCCTTTCATCTTCTCCTCACTGAGTTCGTCCTTTCACCTACCTCCATTAATAAGGCTCTTCAAACCCTCATCAATTACAGATTTCACGTCATTCAATTGTTTTCTTTGGTTCTTGTGCACCTCAGTCAATTGATCCCTCACCTACCTCCTACCTCCATTAATGAGGTTGTTCTTTGAATTAAATCTGGAAGTCATTCCAGATTGCAACACTGTCGCTCTTCTGTTGTTTATTTTACCACACAATCGCTATTTCCCTCTGACTGTCTAGTTCACCTCACTCTCTCTCTCTTCATTCAAACCCTAATTCCTCCAGATCTGGTTTACCCGGTATTTTCTCTGAAAAAACCCAAAAAATGAGTTCCCCAAATGAGAAGAAGCCAGATGACGACGTTATTGCGACCTACAAATGCCAGTGTCGTACTGGGAAGATGAAGTTGATTGGAACTCGAAGGGTCACCTACCTGGATATGCGCCGTATGTACGGTGTGGGTGCCAAAATTAAGCCTTACTACTCTGATGAGGAAGGTGAGGGGTCTAAGGGTGCAGATCTGGCCAACAAAGATGAGGGTTCGAAGAATAAGCGTCCTGTTGATGTGGTTAGCAGGGACATTGCTGAAAGTGTTTCGGTAGCCCTTATCCCGGAAAACAAAGAAGATCTTGGTAGATTTGGGCCTGCTGGAGTGGTCTCTGGCAAGAAGAGGGCTAGATCTGGGTCCCCTGTTGGCGATGGTGGTAATGGTGCTGTGAATGACGCTCCTTCTAATTAATCACGCAGCGTAACTCTTTTATGACCCTTTACAGTTTATACTAGTATTTCGTTCAATGATGTTGATTCTGTGTATTGGTTGTTGGTTGTGAAAAAAAGCCCCTTGTTGCTATTTCGTGCTGATTGGAAGTAATTTGTGCATGATTTAGTTAATTTCTGGTTTATGAGTATAAAATTCTGGGGGGTTGTTAATTGTGGTCGTCGTTGTTAGTACTTTGTGCATGATTATCCTAATTTGTGGCTTGTTACTACTAAATTGTGGCTTGATGTTGTTAATGATGGGCGTGGTTGTTCCTAATTTGTGGATGAGTATCCTATTTTCTAATTTGTTTTACTAAATTCTGGCGTGGTTGTTAATTGTTGGTGTTGTTGATAGTAATTTGTGGCTAATTACTACTAAATTGTGGCATGATGTTGTTAATGGTTGGCGTGGTTGTTAGTAATTTGTGCATGATTATCCTATTTCTGGCTTGGTGAACACTTAATTCTGGCTTGATGTTGTTAATTGTGGGTGTTGTTGTGAGTAATTTGTGGATGATGATCCTAATTTTGAGAGCTTATGATTACTAAATTCTGGCTTCAGTGTAATTGTGACATTTTTTTCACAATGTGATTAATTCTGAATGTTGGCAATCTGTTAGCTTGAGTTTGGGAATTATTCTATTGTATCAGCTTCTGTTGGGTCCTTCTTTTGGGTATGCTGTGTCTTGTTGTTGGTATTCTCTGCATGATGTTGTCAATATTAGTCCCTCTATTGTAGCCAGTTGCTTGTGTATGTGAGATAGGATCCTTCAGGTTGTTATCCTATTTGGCACTAATGGCTTTGGGGTTTGTGATCTGATGAATGATGATGACTATGTAGCCTACTTTAAATGGTGATAAATGAGTCCTACTTGACAGACCATGTGTGCATGCATATAAGTTACCTGATGTTGAGTCCCTTCTGTTTTGTGCATTCAGAGAACAATGTAGCCTAAATGTGTGGTCCTACCTGATCTAGGAGTCCCTTGATAGTGTTATTAGGTAGGAAAAATCCAAGTGATGAAGGGACTCAGTTTGAAAAAAAAATTGCATCATTGGAATTGCTCCAACAACTTTAACTAGAAGTTGTTGTTGAGGTAACCAATTATGCACTTTATGTGAAAAACAACACCCATCTGATGGATTTAAAATACTGTTTTTGCCTATGTTTCACAGTTTAATACTACTGTCATTGCTTTTTGTACATAATACCATCACATTTCATATCATATGGTCTTTCAAAAGATTACACATGTTGAACAAAAGCTAGTCAAGACTGCCTTACCTAATTGACCTTCAATGTAAACAAAATACACATAACCAATAACACAAATAAAGTTAAAAAATAAAAACCAATAAACACTACCTATTGGCTTCCTTGATCTTCATTGGTTATGTGTGGCAGTCTCACTGTTACCTTCCTCATTTGTCTTTGCTGTGGTCAGTCTGCATCAACTTCCATTCCTTCATCATTGTAATTGCCTTGACCTATTTCTATGAACATACTGTTGAGGTGATCAACAGCTTGATGAACCAAAGTCCTGTCCACATGTAGTATTTCTGGCAACATGCCTATTCTTTCCAGCCTTTTCTTGCCTTTGTGTGGAGGGGTAAAATGATTCCCCCCAAGATGTTTGAGTATTTCTTCCATGCAACATTGCAATGTTATCCAACAATGCTTGTTTGAAATAGGATTAAACAAGTCATAAGCCTCTTTCACTTTCTCAATGAGTTCCATTAAGTTCTTAGGAAATGATTGGTATTGTATGGATTGAATGACATTAAACAACCCCAAATCTAGCACATTAAGGTCAGGGGACTGAGCTGGCTGGTAAATGAATTGGATATTGAAACCATCTGACTGACAAGCTGCATTAAATTCCTCATCCCTGGGAATTTGATGGGGTCTTGCATTATCCCATTGAATCCATATGTCCTTGGACAGATGGGATGGCCATTTCTGTTTGATGCCAGGAATCACTTTTTCCAGCAACATTGCCCTGATTGCCTCTTTGTTGACATTTTGTATTGCCTTTGTTTCCACAACACCTGCCTCCCTGTTTTTGCTTTTTTTCTTTGTTGTGGTTTCATACACAAATGGAAAAATTCCATATTTTCCATCATGCAAGACATTTCCTTGGGGGTCAAAAATTGGCTTCCCAATGGCAGCCATAAACATTGCTTTTACCTTGAACCTTTTGGATTGTTGGCACATGTATGGGTTAGGCTCATTGGGCAGGAGGTAGAACCTCCTGGTGTCTGGGTTCAAGTAGAACCATTTTTCATCAATATGCACTACTTGCTGCATATCCAGAAACTGTGGGTCCCTATTATCTTCAGCTGGCAGTAGATGACTTAACACCCATTTCAGTCTTGTTATCTTGTGGTTGGATGTCAGTGCAGGGCGATTTGTGCTTGTATGTGTTCTGAGTCTTCCTTTTTTCTTTAACTTGTGGATGGTGACATGTGATATTTTGAGAGCTGCTCCATAGCTTCTCTCAGTCACCCTCTTGTACAATGGGGCTGATTGCAGGAACTCATCTGTGTATTCTGTTGGTTTGGGTCCAGTTTTGCCCAACTTCTTGCTTCTGACATCTATCACATTCCCCACTGCCATTTGTGTCTTAATGTCTTTGATTAGTCTGTGAATAGTTGACCTGTGTACCTGAAACTTGATTGCTTGCTTTGTTAAAAATCCTCTTGGTATTTCCCCACACTGATGTTGTAATAAAAAATCATCAACAATCTGTCTCTTTTGGGATACAGTCAGCACTTTCTTGGCTATGGGATTGCCATTTGTTTCTTGTTGTTGTTGACTGTGTTGATTGTTGTGAGTTCCTTCATTGCTTGCATATTGGTCTTCCATGTTGCCTTCATCGTTGAGTATTTGGTCAATGCTGAAATAAGCATCATTGAAATTGTCTGCCATGCTTGATAAACTAATGACCCTGAGTTCCACAGATTTAGGAACTGGTAATGAAGTTGGTGGCTGTTTTTTTTTGGGCTTTGCTGTGCTGAACCAGAACAATTCAAAGGAAGATGCTGCTTCTAACGTAGGATTAATTAGGCGTAGGATGGTAGCCTGATTTGCTAAACAATTGCTGTAATGAGGATTTCTGACTTTTGGATTGTAAATTTCTACTTGTACTGTGGATTTAAGGCAGGTTGTTTGTTAAATACCCTGACTTGATTGGAAAAGTCAAGTTGGGGGAAAAATTTGATGTTTCATAAGCTGTTATATTCTGGTGGCAGGGTCTTTAAGTACTCTTCCAAGAGTGCTGATTTGAAATGGAGGGAAAAAATTTGGGGAAAAAAAAAACAGACTGAAATGTTTGGAGGGAAAAATTTTGAGTTGAAAATAGAGTTAATTGTTTGGTGGGAAAAAAGGGAGGTAAAAATTTAGGGGCTGAAATTTTTACCCCTCTTATTTCACCCTCCCTATAAATTCAGATTCTCTCTCCTCCTTTTAAAAAAAAAAAACCGGGTCCCCACTATAATTTTCAGATTCTCCCTCCTTTTTTATTCCCCTAATCACATGCCCCTTATTACACTTATAATATCCTAAACACTCTCTAAAAGTTTTGACTTGGTTTCCGCAACAAGTACACTTGTTGCAATTAATCATTAACGGAGGTAGTATATATATACATATATACACACACATATATATATACATATATATATACACATATATATACATATTTTTTTGGGTATTTTATACCCGGCCAAGTGGCCCAACTAGAGCCTGACATGTGTCATTGGAAGGCGCCACCTTGGACCTTCCAGATGGTGACATGTGTCAGGCAGATGCCGCCCTTAATTTGGGGTATTTGATGATCCGAAGTGGACTAATAAGAGAGCAACACGTGTCGCCCTAAGAGACGCCCAAATGGCTTCTCAAGATGAGCGACACGTGTCACTCAGACATCGCTTCTGAAATGGCGGCCTAGGCCCAAACTTTGAGGCGTCGTTTGGCGGCGTGCCCTAATCCCTAGGTCATCAAACCCTAGGGAGGGCACACTTCCCCAAAGACCCTATTGTTCCAGGTAAGGATCCAAGGGTTCTGCTGGGTGAACTGGGTCCCGTCAACTACCTACACAAGGCAGCACACGTAAACTGCCCTCGGGGGTGGCTCGAGGAACCCCCCTCCGAAGCTTAAGTTAGAGAGTGTTTAGAGAGAGAAAGTGTACTTGGAGAGATGTAGTAAGTATAATGACTTGATTGTCTTACCCCCTTTTCCGCTGTACTTTACCCTCTATTTATAGGCGTACCATCTCCTTCGTGGAGAGTTCAGCCTGGTCAGCCCTGCGGGCTGACTCTGCCGGGCTAGTGAGCCCTCCTTTAATTGCTTTCTCGGCAGTGAGTGCGCACCCTGGGGGCTGGGAGATAGTTCAGCGGGAGCTATCCTATACAACTAGCCCCTCAAGAGGTGGTATGAGGTCACTCATGTCGACTCTTTGCTTGTAGGAACATTCTTCTAAACTGAGCCCAGCTGGAAGGAATAGCTCAGCAGGAGTTATCCCCTACAACTAGCCCCTCAAGAGATGGCGTGAGGTTCTTTTCATGCCAGTTGTTCTGAGCGTGTAGCCTTATCGGCCATGACTCAATGGGTCGTCTGGCTGAATTAACCTGCACACTCCTAGCCCCTCAAGTTTCTAGGGTGTTGATGCGTCCTGAAGACTTGGGAGGTTAGGTGTTGTTACTGTTGAGTCAGTTGCTGTATTGTTTGTATGGTGACGTTGGTTCCAGTCTTAAGAAATGACGATCTAGTAGGGAGGAATTTCAATCACTCCCGCTGAAGTCTGAGAAATGACGATCTAGCCGAGAGGATTTTCGATCACTCCCGCTGAAGTCTGAGAAATGACGATCTGGCAGAGAGGATTTTCGATCACTCCCGCTGAAGTCTGAGAAATGACGATCTGGCAGAGAGGATATTCGATCACTCCCGCTGAAGTCTGAGAAATGACGATCTGGCAGGGAGGATTTTCGATCACTCCCGCTGAAGTTTGAGAAATGACGACCTTGCAGAGAGGATTTTCGATCACTCCCGCTGAATGAATTTTTTTTTTCTTTGGGCGGGAATCATGTTTGCATGAGTGGGACACGTTTTGAAGATCCGGGCTGTCAGTTTAATTTTACTGAAGTGACATGGCAGTTTGGATTTGCCTTGTGTCTAACTGCCCATTTACTTCGTATTAATTTCACTGTCCCCTCTTTTCACTTATTTCTTTTACTCCTCTTACTTTTTCATCTTCCCTCTTCATTAATTTGTCATTTCAAAATTTTTGCTCTTTGCTCTTCCTCTTTCAAGCGTTCTCGATCCTCCATTGTTGTGGTAAGTTCTTGCTTCTTCGTCTTTATTTTTGTCTTAATTTTCACTTTATTTGCTTTTTCCCTCCTTAATTCTTGCTTCTTCACTGACTTGTTTCTTCTTTGTTCTTCTTAATTGCAGGTTTGAACTTTTGTCTTGCTGGGCTTTTATTTTCGCCATTGTTGTTGTACTCTGTTGCTTCTGCAACTTTTTCTTTAAAGGTACTTACTTTGTACCTTTTGTTGTTTGTACTTACCCCATTTTTTTCTTCTTTTTGCTTTTTCTTCGCAAGATTGTGCCTTTCTATTCTTCTCAATTGTCGTTGTTCCCATTTCTTCTCTTTGTTGTTGTATTTGCGTTCTTGGCTTTTTTCTTCTTATTCCGTCATTGTTCCTAAACTGATTCTTTGATTTTCTGGTGCCCCATTGCTTTTTCTTTCCTTTGCAGGCCTATATTTCCCTGTAGATTTCATAATGTCTGACGCTTCTGATAGTCAGAACATGAGTGAGCCTCAAACGACCACTGGATCGGATTCCTCTTCCCAATCTTCTCTTTCAAGTGAGCGCCCAGCGCACACTTCTCCTATTTCTCTTTCTTCTTCTCCTACCCCTATACGAACTGTTATCCCTCCTGACTTTCCCCCCGCTGCGAACGGAATGGGAACTGCTGCGACTCCTGCTGCTGCGTCTGGGTCGGGCAGTAGTCGTCCCGCTGAGGGTAGTGCATTTCGCCCTTTCTAGCGCAGGCCCCGCCCTGATTTCTTTGATCCTTATTACGAGCGAGTGCTCACGCTGGATGGGGTTCCTTTATCCCATCTTACTCGCTTGAGGCTGCGCGCAATGCGCCATAAAGCGTTAGCTGATGCTGTCAAAGCTAATCCCCCTGACGTGTCTCTTGTTAGCCCCGTTCCCCATGTTCAACCTTTAAACAGTTTTGCTTGGCTTGATGACATGGCTGGCGTGCATCGATTTGATCATTATGTAGTGCGAGGTAGAAATACTAGGACTCCATCACCGTCTCCTTCCCCAGCAGTTCAATCAAGCAGGATGACTGAGTCTCCTGGTGATCTCTCATATTACGACTATCAGCCCATTTATGTTGTGGAGCCCGTAGAGGAGGGCAAAACTGTATTTTTTCTGGACGACAAGTATTATGGGCCCAAGAACTGCGTGTTGGATTCCGGTTGGCGCAAGGATGCTGAGAGGCTGGATCTGGCTGTTGTTGGGCAGAAGTTCTATGGTTTTGGGGAGGGTTACAAGTTGGTTCTCCCTGCTGATGGTGCGAAGTTGTCAGCTGCTCCTGCAGGTCATATTGCTGTGTTTGCCTCGCAGCTAGATTTGGGTTTGAGGTTTCCTTTAGGCCCCACCTTAGAGAAGTTGCTTCGTGCTTTCAATATCTGTATCTCTCTGGTGCACCCTGCTTCCCTTCACACCTTGATTTTCCTACTGTGGTTTCTAAGGTTTCGAAGGTATCCTGAGTCCCTGCACTTGTTCAAGTCTCTCATGAGTCTGAAGAGGTCTGCTTCTGGGACTGAGTCGGGGTGGTACTATGTTGCTCCCAAGGAGAGTAGGGTCTTGTCCTACCCAAAACTTGGACAAGGGACTGGACTAACAAGTTCTTTTGGGTGAGGGTGCCTTCCAACTTTGCTGCCCCGCGCAACTTTAGAGAGATTCGTTCCAACATGGTCGGGGTCACAGTTTCCCCTTCTGAGCCTGCCCGTGAGACAGAAGCTTTTGAGGCTCTGCAGGGAGCGGGGACTGGTGACTCCAAGTTTCCCAAGGTGTGGTTGCCCAACTTCATCTACATTATAGGCAATGAACAGCTTTCTGCCATGCGCTTTATGCCGTACGCATGAGTCTGGTAAGTTCTTCTGCTTTCTGCCTTTTCTTTTCCTTCCTCGTCTTATTTAACTTTTCTGCCGTTTTGTTTTTCATGCTATGAGAAGTTGGACAAACGTATGCTCGGGTTGGCTGATAATTGGAAGGACCCTCTGACGAGCGCTAAATCGGTCGCACAATTTAGGCTCATTCAAACACATTTATAACAAACACCTCACTCAAACAAGTACAATGGCAAGCAAAGGTTCGGTCCACGGAGAACGGGAATCAAATGCTAAATAATCTTAATGCTCAAGCTAAATCGAAATCAAGGTATAAGTGGTGATTAACTAACAAACTACAACTAAAGGTTGAATTCAAGGGATTAAAACACTAGGGGAATGGGATTCACTCAACCAATAACAATTAGGCAAATAGGGAGGAATGAGGGTAATGGAATAGCAAAGACCACATGTAAGATCAACATCAAACGATATGAAAACAACTCAGATTACTAAGCTTAGATCCCTCATTAACTTAGCAACAAAAGATACATAATCATATTGCAATAGGTAATGAAACATTCAACTCACATTTCCATGTCGAACCAAACATTTCATGCCATCAAGTTCAATAATCTAGGTTAATTACTCCTATCATGAAGAACTAACAAGCAATCCCATATAATCAAGTTTAGTCGCAATCCATCATCAAAATCACTCCCAAACTCACATAATCACCAATAGGTTGAGTTTCACCCAACCCCTAGCCAAGAGGACTACTCACAATTCATTGTGAGTA